AACTTAAGCACCCATGTATAATAAGCCACTTAGAGGGCGGTGCATGTTTCACACGTTCTCAAACCAGGCCTGGGTTTTTCCATTAAGGCCTCAATTTCTACTGGGTAGAAGAGAAACATTGCAGCAAAATCTACACAAAGAGCTCTTTTCATTTGTTCTCAAAACCTCACGAGTCGCAAATCGGGGCTAAACGGCTCGGGTGCCTGACGAGGGCACCGGACCGGAGAGGGAGTGGATCCCAGCAGCCTAGGGGCCACGAATAGGTTAAGTGTCGCAGGCCCGGCGTCCCCACCCTCCGCTTCAGGCGGCGTAGTATCTCTCCGAGTAGCCCATTTTTCAGAGAGGCTCCTCGGCTGCGAGAGCCAGACAAAGAGGGTGAGAAAGCGGCCGCGGAGGCCGGAACTGGGGAACCACTGCGGGACAGCGCCCCCTGCGGCGGCCGTTGAACAGCTACCGACTGGCCTGGGTGGGATGTCGCGCAGTCTCTGAACGCTGGTTGGTTACTCCGTGTCCCCTCCCCCTCGGCCCGACACGGCCTCTCTCTCTCCTTCGACCTCGATTTCAAGCCATGCGCTGAACTTCGGTTGGTCCGGCTTCCCTGAGGCGTGAGCTCAGCCTGTCCAATGAGGGAGCGAGTATCGCGGGGGCTGTCGGGAAGGGCAGACGACCTATATAAGCAGTCTGCGGGGCGTTCCCTTGCGCCGTGCTCGCCGTGTGAGTCCTGGTAGCAGGTGTTGCCGTGAAGGTGGCCTGAGCTCACGGAGACAACATCTCAGAGACGATGGCGGAGGGAGATAATCGCAGCACCAACCTGCTGGTGAGTCCTGGTTGCCTGTTCCCCGGGAGCCAAGCGAGGCCGCCGGACGTCCGTGGGCTCAAACACCGCGGCCTCTTCCCTGTCACCCACCGCGGGCCTGTCCCTTCTCTCCTGGCGCAGGCGACAGTGCCTGGCCCTGGGTGTCGACCCCTGACCTTTCCTGGGGACCGTGCTCGACGGAGCGAGGAGGGCGGGTGATTCCTAACCGCCAATAGCGGTCGAGGAGGAAGTGGGAGGCCTGGGGCTGCGACACTAGCCTGGGGTGCCGCAGGGGGCAGAAGGCCTCCTGGGGCCTGGCCAGCGCTTTCGGGGCCCAGGCCCCAGCCGTATTCGGCTTTCCCCGTTTTTGATCTTAACCTGGATATGCTTGCCTTCTTTTCTCCCTAAAACTTGGGCAAGGATGGAAGGTCAAAGGCTACTGCTGAGAATTTCTGTTAGAGCTGGTACAACTTAAAACCGCAGGGAGGCTGCGAGCTCACCGTGGGGAACTGAGAGAGCGGGGTACAGCTGAACAGACAATGGCATGTCTTGGCGTTTGTCTGGAATTTGGAGGTCTGGCGGGGGTGGGGTCACAGGACGACTGGAAACAACTTGAGAGTAATAAGCGGGGATCCGAAGGAACTGCAGTGAGGTTAGGTATCATAGGCGGATAAATTTCATGTTAAGAATTTAAGTGCACCATGTAGGCAGAAAAAAAATATCCTTGCATAGTCTCGGTTACCCTTTCCTAGTGACTGCAGGTCACACACCAGCAATGAAAAACGGAACCAAAGAACTTAATTTGGGGCATTTGAACTTCCAAGAGCCCAGATGCTGGCCAGTGACGTGACTTCAGGGCAGTTTTGATTGTGCATGATTTTCACTTTATATTTGCCTTTAGAAATGCTTGCTTTGTTCCTTTAAGCACACGCCTTCTAACATAGTTCCCAGCATGGTTCCTTTTAAGAGGATTAATTGAAGCACAAAGAAGTTGCTCATGCCGTGTCGAAATGACAAATCCTGGGCTAGAGCTCTTGCTTTGCAGCAGAGCAGTATAACTCTAAGGAAAGCAAAGCCTTTGGTCCTGGGTTTCCTGGATGCAAACAGGTTAACCTCTGTTTATCTGTTTCCTCTTCCGTAAAATGGGGATAGTAATAGCACCTTTTTTCGGGTTGTTGGGAAGATTAATTGAACTATAAATATAAAATGCTCAGCAGAGTTCCCACACGTAGTAACCTCTTCTTTCATAAGTATTAAGCATGGAAATAAAGTAACAAATACTGAGATCAAAAGAGTGGTCAGAGTGGCACAGATAGAGCGTCTTTGTTAAGATTAAGTGTCTTTGTTAAGATTAAGTGCTTTATTCTGTCATTTGCATGCTTCCCAGTGAATGACATTTATAGAGACAAGGTCTCAGGCCAGGCTAGTCCCAAACTCTTGAGGCTCAAGCAATCCTCCAGTCTCTTCCTCCTAAAGTGCTGGGATTATAAGCGTCAGCCACTGCCACCAGACTCGTAACACAGACACTTGGATTTCTTATTCTAATTTTTTCTTCCTTTATCAAAACCAGTTTTCAGGGCTTTTGCCACCTTAGCTCATCCTAGAGGTCCACTTTCGGCTGTCAGAGTCATAGAGAAATTTGAAGTGTAACCAAAATGACCTCCTAAGTGGTTGGAAACACTGTACTGAGGAGATAAATTGAGCCTAAAATGCCACTTTAATTTAGTGAAAGTAGTTTTCCTTAATTGTGCAATGGATGCCAACATCTGAGTGATTCCATTACACAAAGAGCTATTTTAGAAA